TTCCCGCCTTTTCATTTCTCCTTAAGTGTGTTGGAAAGTTCTTTTGCTCTCGACTGCCCCTCTCTGTCCAGCAGACAGGCAAGGACTGCTCCCTGTGGAGTCTTCTCATCGTCCTTCTGCTTGGTATTTCTCTTTTCATGCTTCTTAATAGTCTTTTTCATTTGTATTTTCTCGGCATGGCGCTGTTTATGGTAGAGCTTAGCTTTCAGGCCAATCTTTCTTTTTTCTTTTTTTTTTCTTTTTTTGCCTTCTTTGAATGTTCATAGGCCTCCCCCGACCTTCTTTCTTTCTCTTTTTCTCATAGTAGTCCAAACGATATTCATATTGTTTGTGGTACAACCCAACATATTCATTTTGTGGCATGATGACAGCCATGGAGCAGCCATCCGTGACCCCCCTGGGTTCCAAAAACCTTTTAATTTCTGGGTGTCACTGGCCCACAAGCTTGGTTCGCACAGGCTGGAACGAGAAAGGGCTAAAAACAATTTAAAATTTTTTTTTATGTGTATGAGTATTTTACGTACATATATGTATATGGATAGTGTGATCTGAGCGGGTGAGAAAAAGGCATTGTGTCTTCTGGAACTGCAGTTGCAGACACTTGTGAGCTGCCATGTGTGTTGGGAATCTACCCTGGGTCCTTTTGAAGAGCATCAAGTTCTCTTTAACAGTTGAGCCACCTCTCCAGACCAATCCCAACATTTTTATTATTGTTGGTCAGGATAAGAGCCTTATTAGAGCAGTGGTGGGGATAGAGCTTAAAGCCAAGTACATTCCCTGGAGTAGGAAGTGGGCACCATGCATCATCACAGAGCCACATACTGTGATGTCTACCTGTACCAGCTCTTATATCTGGTCCCTTCTGTTCATCCTGCTGCTCAAAAGACTCTTTGGTGAGATCTCTGCATTGGCAACTGCCATAGCCAGAGATGCCCCTGGATATACCTGTTTGCAGCCTTTGGAACACAGAAGAGAGATTCCTTGGTGTCCAGTGTGATCCCTGTAGGCCTGGATCTCTGCTAGCACACCAGCATCAAAGCTCCCTTTTGGACATTCCCTCAAATGTCTCAAAAGCCCTTCTCCACAGAGGTGCCAGACCAGTGCAAGGAACTAAACAGGGCCTGTTCCCTCCCCTCCTCCCTCTGGTTTCCTCTTCCCAGCTTCCCTCCTCTTGGTCCACACCACTCCAATTATGGAATGGCTTCTGTATGTAAACTGTAGAGTAGAGCCTGGGGTGAAGTTTGTATGGTAGGAAGCCTGAGAGAGCTGTGTGTGTTTACACTCTTGTTTCCAACTCTGGCTGGGCCCTGAAACTGTCCAGGGAGCTTTTTAGAAGCATGATTCCCTTGGGGTCCTTTCTCTGGAGATTCTGAGTCATTGCCAGGGTTGAGGGCAACAGAGGAGGAGAGATTCTGAGTCATTGCCAGAGTGTGACAGAAGAGGAATTTTCCAGGTGGAAGTGGTGGTGGGTTGAGTGTGGAAACAGATCATCATTACAAACAGGGCTGTAGCAAAAACAGAGGTGGGGTGCTGTGGGGAGACTGGAGCACTGATATATGGCTGGAGCAGCTTGGGAGTGCCAGACTTCAAAGCTGAGCAGTAGGCAAAAACCCTTGAGCACTGTGCCAAGGGGCTTACACTTGACTCTATGCCTGCCTTGCCTACCTCCAAAGGGAGGCTCTCAGGAGTCAAAGCAATTGACTTGCTAAGTGTAACATGCTGAAAATGCAAAGCAGAACTGGAGATTGTTATTCAAGCCTGTGAGCATTTTTTTCCCAGAGATAAAATATTTTTATCTCAGAGGGAAACCCATGAAGCTCAGGACAGAAGTAAACAACACTAAAGCTTCAGGAAGTCCCTGAAATTGACCAGATCTGCTAGGGCTCTCCCTTCTCAAGTTTGTATAAGCTGTTAATGACACCGAAAGACACCGTCAGAGAAGCCAGGCTGCCTCAAAGCAACTCAGAATAACTAAAGGGCCTGGAAGAGACACACCCTTGAGCCTGTTGAGCTGTCAGCTCTGTGAGGTCCAGGTTCCCAGTTTCTGTGAGCCATATCCCATTCTGTGGTGGACTTTGATGACACAGCTGTCTCTAAGACATACTGGTCCTGTAGGTGACCCCCAGTAAACCCATTTGGTTCATCAAATTGGACTTCAGTTGAATCCTAACTTTGTTCTACAGTTGGCTCACTATCTGGGTTAGTAGGATTTTTTTCACACCTGCCCAGGGACAGCATCACACAACAGGGTGCTCCTTAAAGGGAAGTGGGAGGTTGCTTTGGACAAAGCCAGCTTCCTTCTTGGAAATCTGTGGTTCTGGCTTAACTCAACTTAGGACTCCTGCTAAGTGGTAGAAAATTACATGTACAGATTCTAGTGCATCATGGGGGGAAAGCTGTCCTGTGCTGGGTTTAATAGGATGTGTTGGACTGTATGTGATAGAGAACCAGCCCAAACCAAATTGCTTCAGGATCTGTGAGTCCAAAGTCTACAGGCGTTGGTATCGGACTGAAGCCACTAAGTCTAGGTTTCTCACCATCTCTCTTGGCTTTGAGCATCAGTGTGGTAGCAAAATGCCTGTAGGCATTTTGGATGTCTTCTATGCACGGGCAAGCTTAGGGAAAGACAGATTCATTGTCTGTAGAATGTTTTTCTGAGGAGAGAGAGAGAGAAAGAGAGAGGGAGGGAGGGAGGGAGGGAGGGAGGGAGGGAGGGAGAGAGAGAGAGAGAGAGAGAGAGAGAGAGAGAGAGAGAGACCATTCCTGGTGAGGTCATAGGTCAGAGAGGTACATCTTGTTGCTGGGTGAATTTCTCCTCTCCTGAATGAACACTCTCAGTGAGATCCTTGGGAACACTGCAGGGGTTTCAGGGAAGAAGGAAGCAAATGGACACAATGGATAGCAATTTTGTTGACTTTTAGGGGGAGAATCAGAGCTAAAACTAAAAATTAACAATAGACCTCTTACAGCTTTGTGGTGTATTCACAGAGGGTTTGATTTCCAACCTGTTTCTCCCTTCCCTAGCAAAATCTTAAGGATTTATTTACTTTTAATTTTAGGGGCATTTGCCTGTATGTATAAATGTGCACCATATGTGTCCCTGGTCCCCGAGGAAGCCAGAGAGTGTTGGATCTCCTAGAACTGAGTTGCAACTTATTGCCTTTTGTGACAGGCAAGACAGTGCAGAGGCTCCTCCATTTTGTATTCTTGCTGGGGCCATTTTAGGTTGATCTCCTTGATGGAGAATCCCTTGGACAATTGCTAATTCTATTTTAGGATCCCTAGGTCAGGATGTCCCAGCTAACGTATCTTAACGTCTATTAAATTGCCTACTGATGTGGAACCTCCTCCAGCTAATCAGAATGGCTTCTGTCTAATTGTTTGCTTGCTTCTGCAAAGCCTGCCCCCTGAAGCTGCCAAGCAGGCATGAGACAAAACAGGAACATGAACAATACACCTTGCAAGTTATTGGGAGACCAAAACAAGAAAAATATACCTTGTAGGTTAAGGGTTCTGTTTTCAGTTAAGACAATTACGTTCCTATCTGTCCTGTGTTTGTTTGACACATCTGCACCAGATGTGCTTGATCACATGTGGGCAGGAGGTCCGTGGGCAGGAAATTATGTCAAGGTCTATGCTTGCTCTTTATTGGTCCTGATGGGAAATGCAATGAATTGTGGGTTCTACCTTTTTAGGCCCCTGCAAAATGTGACTCCTAGCCATTTCCTGGGGACCTGGGGATTGACTTGGCAAGAGTCCATCCATCTGGCCAGTATTTAATTAAAACTTGCTTCAAATTTGGCTTTAACTTGTGGTAGTGGTCTTATTCTGGACTGGTTGTCTTAACACAAGATGCCAGTATGAAGTTTCTGTCTTTGGAAATCTCGTGCTCTGAACACTTGGGGCTATATCTGGGTCCCCAAATACTTGTCCCAAGCTGGCATTCCAGAAGGCTATTTGAATTGACTATAAGCTGTGTATGAATGGTCATCTTTGGTGAACTCCCTGTGACAATGTGGGTGCTGGGACAGAGCCTGGAGTCCTTTGCAAGACGAACAAGTCCTCCTTATCTTTGATTTCCCTCTCTAGTCCCTTCTCCTGGAATCTTTAAAAAAATTGTTCTGTATATATAGATGCCATGGCAGATCTGGGGAGGTCAAAGAACATCCCATTGGGGTTGGTTCTCTCCACCATGTGTGTCCTGGGAATTGAACTCAGGTCATTAGGGTGGAGGCAGGTGCCTTTACTCATGGGGCCTTCTTGCTGTCCCTTCCCCAGAATCTTTTAGGGAAGATCCACAATTTTTGTTATGAGTGCCAAGTTTCTAGATTTCTAAAACCTATTTTAACAATGGCTTTCAGCTTCCTGTCACCTAACCCTTCAGGCTACAGAGCAGATCCAAAAAAAGCTGCCTGCATCTTTTTAGCATCTTCTTTAGGCAAATCCTACCCTCACCTGAGCCTGGACCTGCTCTCCACCTGATGCCATGTGCCTCACTATAAGAGACAGACAGCCCTAACTTATCCACAGAGTCCCCATGGGCTGGTCCACACATACCAGGCAGGCCTGTGAATGCAAGTGAAAGATGGTAGCCTGCTGTGCACAGCACTTGGTGATGGAGACATTATCAACACATTCAGCACGTTCAACACGTTCTCATAAGGACAGTAGATAGAAACCAACCAAGGTCATGCTCTAGGCAGGACAGTGCAGAGGGAGCATGATTTTTGAACTGGGATCTTCAGAATTCTATGAGGCCTCACAAGAAACAATGTACTTGAAAACACAATCAAGTCTTTTGAGTCCTTTTCTTTGTTCTATCCTGGCCAGTGCTGTAAACATGTGGTTACAGACTGGATCAACTCTTCTCTGTCCTGAACTGGAAAATCCAACAACCTAAAACTGAAGTTAAAATTTACGGTCTCTTACAAGTATGAATGAAAAATGCAGTGAACATCTTCAAAACAGCCTCCAGGCAGACAGAAACAAGACTCACAAAGTCGGGTCACAGGGCACGAACTTTATTGTACACGGCTGAAGAGGGGGATGAGTGGAAACCTCCACACCAGCACCCCTTCGTATAGGCTTGCTTTTCTCCGCCCCTCCCTGTGACTGAGTTTTAGCTTACTGGATTACTACAAGGCACAGAAGCAAAGGCCAGCTGGTGTCTGGACGGGAAACTTAGAAAACCAAGGGCATTGGTTCCTACGTCCGAGGTGTTTTTACCAGGACAAAGGGTTTCCTGATCCTCAGTGTAGGGTGAGCCACTTCTCCAAACAGATAAAAACCATTATTTTAAATTTAAAATGTAAATACAATTTGAGTCCATGTGGAAGTGCTCTATACATCTCTAGAAAACCCAGCTGGGCTCAAGGCTTAGGAACAGGGAGTGTCATGAACTCCACATGGGCCCAGGGGAGGTGTCAGCAGTGCTAGTGTGACAGAGAGCTGTCCTTCCAGGCGCCTCCAGCTGAATCAAGACCCTCTAAGCAAGATGTTGCAAAAGTCACCACCAAGCTTCCCAGGCCAAAGGAAGGATGTCACAATAAGAAGCTGGGGTCTAGAGGGGTGGACCACTTCCTCTATTGGCATCAATGTTTTATATGAGAAAAAACCCACAAAACTAATCAAACATAAGCGTCCTCCCTCTGCACGGAGAGCTCAGCATGGGTGTCTGCGCAAGCTCAATCACAAGCTCTGTGTGGTAGGAATCCCTCATGCTACTTAAGTAGGAATAGCAATTAAAATATATCACAGTATATAGTAGTTAATAGTATGCAGAGAGCAAAGTATAATGGTTTTCTAAAATGTTTGTAAAGGTACTTCAATACTTAAGCTAATCAAATGGACATAAAATTTATCGATTTTTAAGAAATTTTTAAAAATCAAAATGATTTAAAAACCTGATCCATGAAAATAGGCACAAGTGGAAAAGGAGCACTTCTGTGACAGGAATTAGCTGCTTTAAAGGCCACACACAGAGGGGTCATCAACTCGTGGAAGGGAGGCCCAAGAAGGTTTTTTAAAACTGTACCTACTATTTTCAAAAGGATGAAGACAGGAGTGGGTTCTGGTCTCTGGTCAGCAGGAGACCTTCTGTTGGCTCTGACAGGACCAAGCAGGAAGAGGAAGAGGATTTTTCCAAAATACAGTTTGGGCTTAGGGTGGGTAGATGGACTTTGGGGAAATATCCTTCCTTAAGATTCCCTGAAGGTTGAGGCGGTGGTGGTACACGTCTTAAATCCCAGCACTCTGGAAGCAGAGGCAAGGGGATCTCTGAATTCAAGACCCAGACAGCCTTGAAACCCCGCCTCAAAACAAAACAATCCAAAAGATGCCCTGAAGGGAAGGCACAGACAGCCAGAGAAGTGGGTGGCACAACTCTTCAGTGTCATAGAGCATTTACCTGGCTCAGGTGGCATGTCCAGGCTGTGTCCCTAGCCTTGACTTGCTTGCTTGCTCTTGGTTCAGAACAAGTTAAAGGAAGACAAAAGATGGCCTCAACCTACTTCGGAATAAAGACATAAGGAGTAGAGTATTGTACACAAATCAGCCATCTCTTTCTCCCGCTATTTACAAGCCAATATGTCTCTGTTTTGGAGCTGAGGATTAAGTCCAGAGCCCCGAGCATGCTAAGCAAGTGCCCTCTCATCTGCTTTTATGACTCTCATCCCTTCTAAGAGCCCCTCTATTGTACATACAGGAAAGGAGAAGGAGGTGGACAGTCAAGCTTTCAGCTAATCTCCCCGTGAGTTAAAGGCTAATTTTGTCCCCATTTTACCCTGGGAAGCATTCAGCACAGCTCTCCATAGACCTGGACAGCTCAGTTATTAGAACTCATGATGCCCTGCAACAGGTCGATGGGCAGAGGGAAGACAATGGTGGAGTTTTTCTCTGCAGCGATAGTGGTCAGGGTCTGAAGGTACCGGAGCTGAAGGGCAGCGGGAGACTCGGTGATAACAATGGACGCTTCTTTCAGAGCTCGGGATGCATTCATTTCCCCTTCAGCTGCAATCACCTGTGCAGGAGGAAGAAGAAGTCAGCTGGCAAATAGCATGGTGCCACGTAGTGGTCTTCAAGTAAGACAGCATATGGGACTTGCCAGGAATCCCATCAGTCCCTAGACACTCTATTTTTTTCCTGAAACTGAATTGTGTAAGGATGTATCTGGCTCAAGGCATTCTCTTGTACTGCTCCTTGTCTCCCAGGCAGGGGTAAAAACTGTCTGAACAGGGACCAGACAGAGGCACAGCCCCTAGCATTGCAAAGGGATGGACGACTGACTTAAATGTGACTGAATGGGAGGAGATAGGATCTGAGTCATAAGTCCAAATGCTGGTACATGTGTAATGTCATTAAATAGGATAGAGAGTGCCAGGCATTATGCTGAACCAGGTAGGTAACAGTGTTCTGAGGCAAACACTGTGAATGCATGAATATACTCCCGCTATGTGTGGCCTGCTCAGACTCTCTTCCTTGTCATCTCTTACATCCAATTAGACATGGACCACAGATAGTTCATTTCCTTCTTCCATCAATAAACAATTTGTTGGCCAGGAAGCCAGACCCACTCTGATGGACACACATTCAGTTCATCAAAAAGCTACTCCGAGGGGCTGGAGAGATGGCTCAGCGGTTAAGAGCACTGACTGCTCTTCCAGAGGTCCTGAGTTCAAATCCCAGCAACCACATGGTGGCTCACAACCATCCATAATGAGATTGGATGCCCTCTTCTGGTGTGTCTGAAGACAGCTACAGTGTACTCATCAATAAAATAAATAAATATAAATAACTAAATAAATATCTAAAAAAAAAAGACAAAAGCAACTTTAAAAAAAAAAAAAAAAAAAAAAAAAACGCTACTCCGAGCAAAGTACCGAAGAGATGACCAGATGCTTCAGGCTTTTTTTCTAGAGGAGCCCAAGGACACTTGGATACGGACAGCATCTTCAAGCAAAGCAAACTCCTTGTGGCTGGGTGGGTCTCTGGCCAAACGCTCAGCAACTCCAAGTCAACACACATGTCATTCACACAGACCACCATGAATTTCCTCACCTGTTTCGCTGCTGGAGCCTGACCCACAAGGTGACCTACACACTTTACAGTGAGAGTTGGTAATTCGGCTAGAGGCCTGTCACATCTGTGCCTTTCTGTGTGGACACCTTTGAGCGGCTTCCTCGGCTGAGATTATGTTTGGGAGCAGTTCTGTGCTCACTTTTTTTCTGCATACTATTATGTCCTATAAATAACTATGCCCTTATCCATAAGTTCAACTCAGGACGAGGACTAGAACGCTTCCAGGGTGGGGTGAAGTGCTGCCAGGGCATATCACTGGTAACGTGAGTGTGTACCTGTGAGTATATACTGAGGGGTGGAGCTACTGGCCACAGGTTCTGCCAACATCCTGCTTGGGTACACTTTGCTAGACTGTCTTCCAAAATGGTGGTACCAATGGGTATCCCCACAGCAGAACACAGGGCTCCAGTTCACACTGTGTTTTCAAGCCATCCTGATGGGTATCTGGTGTGGTATCTGCCTGAGACTTCAATTTGAGTTTCCCTCTGCCTCATTAAGTTGAGGGCTTTTATCCTGAAGTCCATGTGTATGGGCCCCTTCACATACTTTCTCTCTCTCTCTCTCTCTCTCTCTCTCTCTCTCTCTCTCTCTCTCTCTCTCTCTCTCTCTCTCTCCTGTACCTTGCTTACTGACGAGGCGGCCAACTTCTATTTCCCATGAGAACTTGAACGTGAGCTCACAGCTATTTCAGAGCTACTTATTTTACTAGTGTATTTTTTTCTGAAGCAGGTCACACTGTATGAACCCTAACCTTGGGGACAGTGGGCCATGGGCCAGGCTCATGTCAGAGCTGTCAGGCTAACTTACAGCCTCATCCAAGGACAGCGTTCTAGCCAGCCTTTTTAGCTTGCTCCTTGTTATGAAGTGAAGAAAGCAACTGTTGATAACGTTGTGGAAGGTCCCTGATGGGAGGCTCCGGGAGAATCGGGAAGGCAAGGAGGGGGAGCAGAGCGATCTCATCACTAATCAACCGTGGGACCTTGAGGAAATCACTCAGCTCTTTCAGGCTCCAGTTTTCACTGACCAGGATGGCAAACATGTTTCATTTTTAGGGCTAACTCTGAGCAGTTGAGGGTTGTTATCTAGAGCACTGCAAAGGGAGCTGGATGCCAAGTCTAAGCTCAGCGGAAAACAGCTCTGTGGTTAACTACTGATGGACAGACGGTGAAGATTCCTGGATCCTTTAATTCTGATACTCTATATGAGACATTATTATTCTATGTGGTCTAATAACAGGCTACTAGTTAATGTCAGACAATAAGGCAATTCCTACTTTTCAAATAACTGCGTGGTAACAGAACTGCACATATATTTTAGTTCCTGAAAGTGAGGGATTTGCAAGGAAACACTTGAAATTTCTGCAATGTCACCATGAGTGTACTTGAAAGTCATGAACATTCTGGCTGACACAAACTCCTGGAGGCAGCCTGTTAACAGGGTACTCCTCTTTTTGGTACCGGCTGACTAATAAATTATAATGGCCAGTCTGTGGCTTAAACGGGTATCCAACGAGATGGACAGAGTTCTGTGGTCAGCCAGTCACCAACCACTGAGACTTTCTAATGACGACACACTGGCTTGCCCGTGTTTAGGAGATCTGTCAAAGGCACAGCAAAGCCTCCTATGAAACCTGCTCTAGCTTTTCACAGGGTGGGGCTGTGTGGCCATAATCAGATGTGGCCTGGTCCTTATTGTACTAGAGAATCCTTCTTCTAACAGGAAGCCTCTGTCCTTTACTGCTCCCCAAGGAATACTATGAACATGGGAGTGAGAAGCCCCCCACCACGGCTGTCTGCAGTGAGACAAAGCCCCTGTGCAGCTCTGACAAGGCCTGCCTGTACTTCCAGTTCTTGGGTTTGATGAGATACCTTCATACTTTGACACGTTGTCATCTTACAGGAAACATTTTTTGAGGTTAGCTTAACAACTATTTCTTCAGCACTACCAGAAGGGCCATTCACTCAGGCAGGCTTAAGACAAAGGCGGAGATGAGAAGAAAAAGGAAACATGGAGAGAGAAGGAAGATGTGGAAACGAACAGGAGGAGGGAGGAGCCGCAGCAGCAAGAAAGAGGCTCCTGGGGAAAAAAGGAGGTAAAAGGCCAGAGTAAGTGAGGGACGGACGATGGAGCAAGCTGACACTGTCATGTGCTCTGAAAGTCAACCTGCCTTTATTAATGAGTCGGGGGTGGGGTGGGGTGGGGGTGGGGTGGGGAGCTGTGGGGGCTTGCGACAATGATACAGCTCTAATAGACCAATGTTCCCCTGAGAACCAAGTGGAAAGGCTAAGGTACAGGGAAGTGTGTGCAGTGCAGTTCCGCCTGTGCTAACAGTGCAACAACTAAATAAAGCACAAGCACAGGACCAGGGAGGTGGCTCACCCGATAAGGTATTTAATGTACCACCTTGAGGACCAGACTTTGGATTCCTCAGCACTCATGCAAAAGAAAATTGGCGCACACATCTGTAACCTCAGTGTGGAGGAGGGATGCAGGTGGCTCCTGGGGCTTTGCTGGCCAGACACTCTCACCAGATGGTTCAGAAAAATCTGACCTAAAAAAGTACATTCATACAACACACACACACACACACACACACACACACACACGTGCATACACCTGTTTAAAATCAGAATTTGAGGTAATGGGCAGGCTTTACGAAATAAACATTCATGGCTATCTTACTCTTTCAGTGAGCATGTGGAACTTAAGAAAAGTAAACTAAAACAAAAGAACAACAGGACCTAAGCAAACAGAGAACAGTACCTTGGCCCTAGCTTCCCGGGCAGCTTCTGCCTCTGCAGCCATGGCTCTCTGGAGCTGTACTGGCAGCTTCACATCCTTAATCTCCACACGCTCCACCTTTATTCCCCAGTCATCAGTGGCATCATCCAGCGTACTCTGACAAGAGAAGGGACAGCAAGTGAGTCATTGTCGCCTGTCCCGATGCCAAGAGTGGGCTCATTCACCGAAATGTGGTGTGGATAAGGTGGATAGGGTTTGGTGAGGGGCTCATCGTCAGAGAATCATTGTCAGAGGCATGCCGAAGCAGGGGCTGGGGAGTGATCGAGGACACAGATCTGATTCTGTGGCTAATGCGCTAATGTAGGCTGGCAAACTTGTAAGGGCCATACAGGAACTGTCTGTGTGTAGTCTCCACTGCAGTGCTCCATGGATTCTGCCCTGATCAGGAGCAGCGTGAGTAATGCATGAGTGAGCAGCCCAGGCTGTGGTCCAGTGAGCGACTATTACACAGAGAGTGGTCAGCCTCGGGCTGAACTTACAGTAGTCTGCCTACCCGAGTTAACGGGTGCATGTAGGCCGGTCTCACCCTCCTCCTTTACAAGGGCAGGAATAAACAGTACTCTACCTCCGCAAGCCGGGGCGGCACCACACACATAGTATGTATTTTTTAGCAGGGAGGTGGTAGTAACGGTGAGGAAGAAACGCAAGGCCCACCTGGGCTGCAGAGCAAGCGACAGGGCACTCTGTGGTGTAGCGTGATTTATCACCTATTCAAAACTAAACAAACCACAGCGTTTAAGCATGACGAGACCTCTATGAAGAGAGTTTGCATTTATAGTGCGGTAACTTCACTGAACAAGCTATTAACATCTACGTCACAAAAGACTGGAAAGCAAGATAGTTACATGGGGACTCATGTCTGTAGGTCAGAGCTTTAGCAATTCGTATACTGTTTTGCAGAATAACCCCCAAGCCATTACGATCTAAGAGGAGGATAATATGGATTCTGGGGCTGGGGGCACCAGAAGGAATCTGAAAACAGCATGCACCTGAGTGCCATGAACCCATAGGTGCTTGTCTGAAAATATTTCTGTAAAGTCTGGAAGCCTGAAAAGGAAAGAGGGCGACCATCCCCATCCAGGTGAAGGGTCATGGCCTCAGCTTCAGTTCTCTGGCTCTGGTTAGCTAACCAGCAGTGGGCACTCCTCACCTGCATGTGGTGTGCAATCTCTTCTCTGTCAGAGAGGATTTGAGAGAGGTTCTTCGTGCCCAGTGCATTCCTGAGGGTAGTTTGTGCCAAAAGACGGGTTGCTGAATCTGCATTGGTGATATTCGCCACGGCCAGGGTTGCGTTCTGAACACGGTAATAGACCACACCATCCACACTGATGGTCACCGAGTCCTTAGTGAGGACCTACAGGAGGAGGAAGGCAAACACACACCTGTTGGAGCATCATCATTGTCATTTCATGAACCCTTAAGCAACAGCTGATCTTCCTTAGTAAGGCACCAGAAGGTTATTTATACCCCTTCAGAGATTTAATAAGGCTCTATCCAAGTCCACAGATTCATTCAACCCCCTCAACAAAATCTGAGATGCCACTCAAAAGCTGACATTGTTCTGGCTCATTTCTTCCCATCATTCAAATGTCTTTTCCATGGACTTCCTGACTCTTGCTCTCAGGAAGGCCACCCAGTGCACATGCACTCTGCCTCTGTGCTGTGATACACTGAGGGGAATGCCTCTGCTTCTCCCTTACAAGGTGAGTTTCTTAAGGGTGGTTCTTCTTCTGTCTCTCTAGTACTGGCAGTGTGATTGACACATGGTGGAGGGAGGGTCACAAGGTGACAGAACTGAGGCCCTAGGACATGAGTGACAAATTGTGCAGGTGTGGAGCCTGGAATCTGAGCTTGGTGGGCTATAGTGGGCTGTAAGTCATGTGACCTGCTAACCCTTCATCTGTAAGAGGAGGCTGGCAGCACTGCCTCCTAACTGTAGTTCTGCTGATCAAGGGAGGCAGTGTCCTGCAGGAAGTCTTTTGAAAGCGCCCCAGCCAAGTCAATGAGAAGTAACAGTAACAGCAGAGCCGCTCTGAGGCCTTAGTTCTGCTAGGCACCAGAGCAGCGCTCTCCTTTGTTTTGAAATCTAAACCACCTCTGACTCTAGAGAACAGGGGCATTTGTTAACAAAGCTTGCGAGACCATTTCTCGTAATGCGGTGGGGAAATGAAAGCTACTCACAGATTCCTGTCACTGTGGTGGCCACAGCTGCCACCGCTCAGTGCTGCTGCATCTCTGAGCACTGGTTATTGTGGGCAGTGTTTAACTTAACTCCCTCTACAGTAAGATCCCAGGGGCTGGGAAAGAGCTGCTTGCCAAGTTCCAATCACTCCAGGTTGGCAGCTTGCAGGGAAAAAGAGAGCAGTGGAAGGCAAAGCTCACAGCCACATGCCAGATGCCCACAGTGTTTAAACAAGGAAACGCCACAATTCCCAGCCCCTTAAAGGGGCTCCAGAGAGTCCATCTTTCTAAACAGGGAAGCATGGGGAAGATCCGGGATGTTCTCAGGCTTCTTGTAAGGTGTGGGTGGGAATTACTTCTGCTTCACTGAGTTCATGTGAACTGAAAAGTCTGACCTTACCAAGTGCTTGGATCAGTAAGAGAGCGCCCAATCTGGCTTCTGGATCTTGTGACTTATGATAAGAGAAAGCTGGGCTCCAACACCATGCTGAGTTCCCAGACTGTGCCAGGGAACACTGCTCTTCCAGCTCTCCCACAGCCTGTCCCTCAGCTTCCTGTTTGCAATGGTTATTATGCCTCCTAACATATGTGCAACAAATGCCCAGCAGAGTGGGTGTCCAGTGCAGCTAGCCCTGAGCAGGGGAAAGCACCAGACAGGGCGTCCCAAGAGCTGGGATCTGAGGATTTGCCTTCTAAGAACTGGCTGTAAAATCAACTGGGAGCTGTTTGTGCAGAAGTCTGAAAAGAGTCTAAAATGTCAAATGAGGACTTTCTAATTCTTTTGCTTCCAACCAATTTATCTCAAATAAAAATGAAGGCCTTTAGAAAGGATGTAAACTAGATTTTTCTTCTGTCTGAAACCCATGCAGGAGAGTTGTGGTCAGAAGGGTGATTACAACCCTAATGCTAAGTCTATGTCCTCGGGCATCACATGGTGTCTCTAACAACAGTGACAAGCTCCCATGCAGGGCTTCACTTCCAGGTGCTGCATGCACTAAGCACTTCGCAGGCTCAGTCTCTCACTCACTCCCTCACTCACTCACCCCTCACATCACCCCATGGCCTTACCATTACAACGTCCATTCTACAATTGAGAACAGACACAGAACCTGCTCAAGTCACAGAGCTGGGCAAAGAGAAGGCAGTCAGGGCCTCCCAGTGTCAGGCAGCCACAAGTGAGAACTGCTCACCTCCTGCGGAGGAATATCGAAGGAGATGGTCCTCATGTCCACCTTGATGAAGCTGTCAGTGCATGGCAGGATAAAAAACAAACCTGTAACACACAGGATCAGGGAGAGCGATTAGGCTCAGCTCGCCCTTGATCAGTTCTATGGAATAGCTGAGATGGCTTTTGTAACACAGCTCGCTCGCTCGCCCCTCACCTCTAAGAACTTACTAGAGTTTCTCCCCAGGACCCATTGTCCTGCTTCGCAAGTCTTTAAAGCCTCTCGGGACTGGCCTTGCCTCTAGTCACTCTCCCTGTCCTGGGGTCCTGCACTTCTCAGCGGACACATTTCCAACGCCCCTCTCGCTATGCTCTCCCCTACACTGCTCTGCAGATGTCTTTGTTTCTGTCAGGAATATCGCTCTGTGGCTGGTACTTCTCCACGCCTCAGAACACAGGCAGGCCAGCCACAGCTGTGCATATAACTATTTACAGTACTTGGAAGACTGAGGCAGGAGGAGTGCTGAGGTTTGAGGCCAGCTTAGGGTACACAGTGAGATTCAGGTTAGCCTGTGAGATGCTGCCTCGAAACATACAACGGGGTGGGAGAGGCAGTGTGAGAAGCAGAGGGGCTGAGATAGCCCAGTGGTTGAGTGCTTACTGCTCTTCTGAGTGACCCACATTCAGTTCCCAGTCATCCATACAGACAGCTCACAACTCCCTCCAGCTCCGAGGACTCTCACTCTCTTCTGGATTCTGAAGGCACTGGCACTTATGTGCGTACATCCACACCCACACATAGACACATCATTTTAAAATAATGGTACAGCTTTATCTCAGCTTCTGTTTTGGGTCAGTTGCTCTTCTCTGGGTCTCCTGTGTTTCTCTGTCAGGGCTCTGTGGCTACTGGTTCCTAACACCAAATGCAGGGCGTAGCTGTCTGTTTGTTTGTTGGTGTCTGACTGTTAGACAGCAAGGCCTTTGATAAGGGGACTGTGCTCTGCTCTCCCTTGCGTTCCTAGAGGCTCACTGGGCGTGGTGGCACGTCCCTGCAGGCCCAGCATCTGACTGACCGCAGTCCTTTCTTTGGTTAGGGACCTCCTGCTCAGCCTCTCAAGGCTATGGGCATTGTTGGCCAAGGCCAATAATAACCCTATCGCTCTAAGTAGATAACAGTGGAAAGAGTGGGCAGCAGCGGACTAGCCAGAGCCACTGCCCTTGTTATACAGCTTCTGCTCCGAGCAGAGTCCCCATTGGGGAGCTCACATCAGTCATCAGCTCAGGCTCATGGACTAGAGAAAAGGCTCTGACGTTAAGAACTCCTGATGCTCCTCCAGAGGACTTCAGCTCATTCCCAGCACCCACATTAGATGGCTCCCAAATTCTGTAACTCCAGCTCCAGGGGGATCCCACATCTCTGGCCTCTGTGGGCACCTGCACTCATGTGCACACACCCACACATAGACACACAGATATACAAATAGGCTTAAAAAGTACAAAACCCCAGTGCTTTGGTTTCCAGACTACAGTCTAGTACTGACCAGGTCCTTTGGCGCCTCCTTGCAAAATGCGACCCAGTCTAAAGATGATGACTCTTTCATATTCTTTTACAATCTGGAATAAAAAGCATGAATCAAAATTCATCACAGTGAATACAATTTACATGTATAGCTTCCTAAGCACATCTCTGCTCTGAGCAGGCTCAGTGTGTCCTGTTGTTTGCTCTGTTTCCTGACAGTATCTATACACAGTGTATCTGGTGTTTACTGTTTCCAAGCACAACATTTATTTCTTATATACACACATCTTTATCATAATAAGGCAATAGACCCCCTGGGAGTGGCCATACATGCCTCTATTCTCGGGCATAAACAGGAGGACAGTGATTCTGAGCCAACCTAAACTACAAAGTGAGTTCAAGACCAGCCTGCTCTATCTAGGAGCCCTTGACCCAAAGCACAGAACAAATACTGGTTTGTAACACTGGAGAGCAGAGCACAGAGAAACCATCTCCAGGCCCATCCTTCTGGAGCGTTGGCTGTTAGCATCCTGCTGACTATTCAGGTTTTGTTTGCTCAGAAAAGCTTACAATGCTTCTTCTGATTCCATTGGTTACAATAAAATTTATCAGAAAACACAGGCAGCATACTCGCTATTTTAGCAATATGCAAATGGTAGATATTTGTCTAAGTGTTAGTAACTTTGTGGGAAAGACAGCTGCACTGGGGAGCATTGTTCTGTGCCAGGCTCTGCATTGAGTGTGTGGACATGGGCTGTTCTCTGGGACTGCCATTTTCTCCAATTTTACAAGTGAGGAAACACAGCAGAGGTGGTGCTGGGAGGGAGCCTGCCACCCAGCCCCGCCCTCTGTCCTCCTCACTGTGTCCTCACAGGATCATCTCACAGCCGGACACAGAACTATCGCACGGCTATCCTCACTGTGAGGAAGGACTGAGTATGTCGCACGGCTATCCTCACTGTGAGGAAGGACTGAGTATGTCGCACGGCTATCCTCACTGTGAGGAAGGACTGAGTATGTCGCACGGCTATCCTCACTGTGGGGAAGGACTGAGTAGACAGAGGATGGGTTTTAGGATTCTGCTGTCACTCATCAGCAGAATCTATCCGAAGGAGAGATGAGAGAAAAAGCACAGGCCAGTCTGGTCTCCGTCTACTTGCCCCATAGATCACATGGCTTATGGAGGTGGGAGCTGACCCTGCTTCAGAAGGGAAAGAAATGTTCTTTACCTTTATGCAAATCCATATTGATATTGGGAAGGTTATAAGTACGAAAAAGAACGAGACAGCCACCAAAATCCATCCACAAAGTCCCAGTTCTGCCTTGGGATTATCTGTTAAAAACAAAACCACACAGCCTGTTACGGGCACGTTTCATTACTTCATCCCGGCTGCCCACTGGCCGCACTGTGCTTGGCGGTCCGCTGGCTTTACTTCAGTGTCCTTGTCTCTGTCTCACACAGCCCTCAGACACGCGTACCTGCTCTCACCTCACATCACCCATTACATTACCCACAAATGCTTCTCAGATACCGCTTGCTTGTTTTGCCTCATGACGTGAGATTAAAAAAAAATGGAGACTACTCGCCTTCTAAAAAGATCTAGTGAGGAGCAAAGACAGTCATGACACCAGGAGGTAGGCAGAGAGGAAGGAGGGAGAGTGACCAGGATGGAGGCGAGCACTGAGTGGGATGGGGAGTTGACAGCCACTGGCGGCTTCCTAACAGAGAGGGAAATGCCAACAAAAAGGCAGACAGAAAGAAAATGGGTTCTGACTAAGGGCACAGCATGGCTCTAGATGACGACTATGATCCAGGCACATAATCCCATTACACTGTCTTTATACAAATTACTTGTGCACATGGTTGCCCTGTGCTTATGACTCCATTACCCATTTCCTGATTAGTGACCGGGCTATTCCTGGCTTCTTGCAATAGCAAGAGCAATTCGGTGAAGGATATCATGGTCTTGGGCTTCCTCCTCTTCTGCATGTAAACAGTGCTTTTGTCTGATTACAGATAGAATATGTACATGCCTGCTATAAAAAAGTGTAGCAGGAAGTATAAAAAGGAGGGGAACATTGCCTTAAACCCAGAGACAGTAAATGTTTCAACACATTCTTCCAACCTATTTTCTGGTTTACACTAGATTTTAAAATTCAAATAAATAAAATTAGTAGCATATTTCCCCTTCTATCTATTGTTCTTTTCTATTTATTATTAGCCTCTGTAGTCATGAACTTGGGCTTTTCCTGTGTTTGACCTAAAAAATAAAAAAATCAAAATTGTTACACTACTGAGATTTAAAAAGTCAAATGCGGGGCCAGCAAGATGGCTCAGCAGGTAAAAGTGCTTGCTGTCAAAAAAAACGGAGAAACTTGAGTTTGATTCTTGGAACCCACACAGTAGAAGAGGAGAAGCGGTTCCTGCAGCCTGCTCTCTGAGCTCCACACATGTGCTGTCACATTGGCACCATGGCATGTATGCTTGCCACGCCTGCCCATGTGTAGAATCAAGCAGTTCTAGAAGTTAACACATGAAGGTGCAGTGTCTGCTCTGCTCATTTCTCCCCATTTCTACTTCCTCAAAAACAAACTGATCTTCTGTCTGCTCTTGTAGGTGTTTACCTCCGGGGTTTAACTAACCTCCCCTCCTCAACCTGGGCTCTCCCTGCATTTTCGGTTCTGAGCAGTACCATGTGACTTTCCACTATAGGAGAGAATTTGTTCTTCCTTATCTCTTCCTCCAACACAAACTTATAAACTGCACTGTAATTCTGGTTAGATTAATAACTATCAATATGCCGATCAAAGCTAAGCCATGTGGTAAGTACAAACTAGTGTTCCTTTCTAGTATGATTTTTTTCCTCTTTTTTTTTTTCTTTCATTTTCTTTAGTCTGCTATAGTTCTGGCTGATTCAACTTTAATCCTCCATCCACAGTCTAAATTTCCTTTCAAAACAGCCAGGCATCCCCTCAGTTTCTTCTCTGGATTGCATATCTATTAGTTGGCAGTTGCCTTTTACTCTCAAGCCTGGGAATCCACCCCGGCCTCTGGTGCCGAGTTTTCTATTTTCTGCGTCCAGCATCTACCTCATTTCCATGGAGCAGATGGGGACTGAGAGTGGCTGGCTGACCCCAGGGTTTTGCCATCACTTCAGGTGCTGCTGTAGTTTTAGAAGTGACAGGAAGGAACGGGTGTGCCTGGTGTGGTGAGTTACTGCTCAGGAGAAAGGGAGAAAGCAGAAGGTTCAGTGGGTGGGGAGGATGAGGGCGGGTGGAGAAAGGCGTTGGCAGCTAGAGAGAGCATTCTGAAATACAAGAGGGGACCAAGAAACACAGCTAGGAGTCTAGTTATGTTAGTAATGTTCTGATCTGTGTGGTAGTGTCAGGGACTTGGCACTTGTAAGTCAAAATTCTTAGGGCACAGACACAGTCACTGGCAGAGAACTTGAGGCAGGGCCACTGATGCACTGCTTGTCGGGAAGTTCTAGCAAGTTTTACATGGACAGCAATGCAGTGGTTTTAATTGCACTTTATAAATGAGGGAACAGAAGCAACGTGCCTTCCCATGGGACAATATGAGAGGTCTACCAGTCAGACATTGTGTTTTTTTTAATACTTTTTAAATTTGATTTAAATTTTAGAATCATCTAGTGAGGTTTTATTTGTTTGTTTGTTTGTTTGTTTGTTTGTTTTTAAACCGATTCTAGCTATGTAGCTCAGGCTAGCCTGGAACTCACATTGCCCCTGCTTCAGCCTCTGAGTTCTGGGATTAGAGGAATATCCACCATGCCTGACTACACTAAGTAACTTTAATTCCATTTTGTGAATGAAGTAACAAAAACAACACTACTTTCACCAGGTCATATCAGGAAGGACAAAACCCTTGCCCTAAAGACTGTGCCCTAAGTCTCTTTGACTCCTCACCGTTAAATGTAAAAGGTTGACACTGAAGAAGTGTTCATGCCTGCAGTACTTTCTTAACATAATATCTGACCAGGAGACAGGGCAGGCAGGCAGTTTTAAGGATGAAATCTTATATTCTGTCAGAGGAAGCCCTTTACCCCAGGTGGACTTCCTATTTTTAGCAGAAAAACTCAGAGTTCTGAGCCACATAGGTCTAGATTTTATGTGAACTGGATTCCAAAGACCAGCAGACAGGCCACAAATGTTTATCTGGTAACTTTTGGTGCTCTCAAAAACATCGCTGTAAGTCCCTCCCATTGCAGGCAAACTGCCAAGTTCCTGGTCACAGTACACCACAAAACCCCCAAAACAGGGATGGTTCTTAATCACTTTTTTTTTATGGTGCTGGGAACCCTGACTAGGGTCTTAACTATGCTAAAAAAGTGCTTTTTTTGTTTTTGTTTTGTTTTGTTTTGTTTTTTGTTTGTTTGTTTGTTTGTTTTGAGACAGAGTTTCTCTGTGTAGCCCTGGCTGTCCTGGAACTCACTCTGTAGACCAGGCTGGCCTCGAACTCAGAAATCCACCTGCCTCTGCCTCCCTCTTTAATCTGCTGGGATTAAAGGCATGCGCCACCACTGCCTAGTGAAAAGTGCTTTTCCATGAATTACAAATACAGCCCCTCTTACTCATTTTGATACTCCCAATGTACATCGCGTGTTCTGCAAAAACAAAACAAAACCAAAACAACAACAACACCAGGGTCTACTGTACTCAATAAAAAGAATATTCCATCCAAATTTCCATGATGAAAAATGGGGAAATAGTACTTGCTCTTTTTGAAAAAAAAAATTCCTCTTAAAAGTGAGTTAATTTACCAGGTAACATTCAAAGATTCGTAGAAAGTATATTTTCAAAGCCAGGAAGCTTGACCAAGATCTAGGCCCAGGTTCCATTGTTACATCAAGATTCTTCAAAGCCCAGATAAGTGCATAGCATGACCAGTGAAAAGCAGCGAGTTAAGTGGGAGTCTGAAGAGTCTTGCCCATAGCAAAGGCTTGGCTACAGACACTGAAGCAATTCCACGCTAGGGAAATGACACTATAACACTTATTTTCTTAACTCCTTTATAGTGAAACGGTCCCATTCTTAGCCATAAAAATTCTCTCACATCTGGTTACAGTTCAGCAAGGCGTATGAACCACTTTCTCAGGAGATGAGGTTTCATTGAGCTCATGAATGAATCTTGGTCATCCATGATTGCTGGGCAAATAAGAAAAAAACAATTCTCAGATGCCCACCAGATTTCATGAGCCTTGTTTCCTCAGAGTTTCTCAGTTACTATTTTAAGGTGTCTCCTTCTGTTAGCTTATGAGATAAATGACAGACAAGTAATGGTCAATCAAAATTCCTGAGATATTTTGGCTTAAATACCTGTCAATGCTTCACTGGGGGAAGACTTCTAAAGATCAGGGATCTTACAACACTTGGGTGTAAACATTGCTTTGACAGGTTTTTATGCATTTTCTTTTTCCACTATGAAACTCTTTTCTGTAAACTGGATTAAAAATAGACTTTTAACCAATCAAAACTAGGACCTATGGTGTTAGCGAACTGGCTACTCCTCCACAAGACCTGAATTTGATTCCCAGAAGCTATATGGCAGCTCACAACCCTCTTTAATCTGCCTCTTGGGAGGCAGAGGCAGACAGATTTCTGAGTTTGAGACCAGTTTGGTCTACAGAGTAAGTTCCAGGAAAGCCAGGGTTATGATAGAGAAACCTTGTCTTGAAAGACCAATAATAATAATAATAATAATAATAATAATAATAATAATAAAAAATTTATTTCAAAAGGACCTAAAATGCACACATATCCACACACAAATTTATTATTATTCAAATTGACCTCAGCTCAAGAAAATTAATATAAAACCAAACCGAATCATAGAATGTAAAAGTACAAGTTGTACGGTCACTTTTGTTGTCTGGTTACAGGGAAAACAAAAGGGCCTTACTTGTAAGCTCCTAGAGCAATGTTCAGAGTGGTATATGATGCTATCCATCCTGTGTCAGCTGGTTTATTCTAAGACAAAGTGGAGCTAGCATGGCAAAGTCCTTGGTTTGAGTAAAGAATCCCATTCACCATTGAAATTCAATTACTCCAAAGTTCAAAATGTATTGGAATTCCTCTGCTGAGAAAGGCCAGAAACATGCCTTATATTTAAAATTAGGGAGTCAGAGTCTCACGCCCCATTGCACAAGGCGAAAAGGATGGGCTAACCCGGCTGCACTACAGTATTTAAGAGGCGATCCTTCCCTTTTCCTTACACAGAATGTGAATGAAACACTTTATGCTGTAAACGGTCATGAATAGTGTTGTCTGGATAAAAACAGATAGGTAACTGGGAAATTTATCTTAAAAGTGCAT